ATTCGAATTTTAGGTGTGCGTTAAGGAGGCAGCCTTATCAGCGGCGCACGAGATGCGATGACGATATAAGTGTCGTTGCATTATAATGTTTTTGTTAGCCTATCCAGATGAAGCCACTAGATGCGGCGCTGCTGCGTTGTTCATTAAAAATATTGCGGAAAACAGAACATCAATGCGGAGAAGATCTTGTTTACATCAAAACTGAAACCAAGCCATTCACACAGAACGCATATTTCACGCATTTTCTAGAGGGGCATCTATTACGGTTGCACTCGCATCTCGCACAAAAGAGCCGCATTTTTAGAAAGCCATGTAAAATTAATGCAAGTTTAACTTTGAAAAAAAAAAAACATATATCGAGACTTTATGGCGAGTTTTTTCTAGTACAAAATTCAAATTTAGTTTTTCAGCCATTTTGATAGCCCTAATCGGTATCGGCAGATACTGCTTTCTGTAATCGGCGATCGGCCTCAAAAATCCTGATCGGAGCACCCCTAAATTTATTACATATGAAAATTATTATATTCAGTGGCTTCTCCTAGTTTTCTTAGAGATATTTAGTGCCAGTTTATCAGGAAGTGACGATTTTGTTCTCTTTGACTCGTTGGATGGAAAAGTGCTTTATTCGCAAATGTTTTAAGCGATATTCCAGTTTTGCGCATAAGTTAAATTCGCATCTTTGGATGGAAACATAGCTAGTGAAACACTTAAATGCAGCGGGGAAAAGGGAGTGGGGATTGTTTTTATAGAATCACGAGTTACACACAGCAGGTCTGTCTAATGAGACTAGCAGGACTGTAATGATTACGTAAAGACTCAATGATTCAGCTTCATAAGGCCATGCAACTTATGTAAAACAGAATAAATACACTTAAAAGATACCCACTGGGACAAAAACCAAGATTTAAAAGCAAAGTTGTCATTATTTACTCAGTTTGAGTTTTAATGCACACAGCAAACACAGCACAAGCCGTCAAGTCTAATTTAAAAGCATACGACTAGGGCTGAAACGATTCCTCAAATACCTCGAGTAACTCGAATACAAAAAATCATCGAGGCAAATTATTTTTTTATTTTGTATTTTCATTTACTGTAACTACACACGGAACACCGTGTTTCCCCACGGACCTGATAAACACTGGACCAGATCATAGACTGTATAAAAACAGGGACCAGACTTAAAAAAAAAAGCGCTGGACATATTTAAGACCGTAAATCAATATGGTGGCTAGTTATAATGTCCCTACGTTAGCTATGTTTTGTGAAAGACTAAACGCCATCGTGCATAAAAATACCATAGAAAGAAAGTTAGTCAATATCACACAAAGAGTGCCAGTTTTCACCTCTAAAATCAACATGATTACAAATGTGATTTTATTCAACAGTTCAATAAACAAGGTAATATTATGAGACTTACGTTTTAGACACTATATTGCCTGTTTTTGCTTTATTTTGCCAACAAAAAAAATCCAAACACAGCCACAGCACTGTTTTGCGTCTCTGTGCAACATTATGGTGTTTTGTTCCTGAATGAATCAACCGTTCTGTTCAATCGCAATGACTCACTTTTTAACAGTGATTTGCTGCCACCTGCTGGCGGTTTTAATTTGACATTTAAAGTATCTTTTCATTTTTAAAATAATTTTAAATAACAGTATTCAATGTTTTATGTTTAAAATAACAAAATATTATTTATGCATTTGTAACTGCAGGTTAAACGCATTCATGTCCCTCTGTGTGGGAAATTCATCCCATGTAGCTTCTGTTTCCTCTACATTGCAAAGATGAATTTTTATACTGATATAATTTGTTTGGTAACAGCCCAAATGTCTTTTATTCTAATTGACTGATTAAATGTAAGAATTTGACTCAAAAGATGATGCACACTTTTAGAAAAAAAAAAGGCTTTATAAAGGTAAAAATGCCCATAAAATGTAAAAAT